ATACCTGGAACTTCATGCGGTTTAACTCTAAACAAAATACAAACAACTTGGACTATCTCAGCAGGAACGACAACAGGACCTTGGGACCTCATTTTTCAAAGCAGCACAAGCCTGCATTATTGCCAGAAGATTCAGTAATACGAGCCCCAAAGTCCCCTCTCAAACACTCACAGCTCCTCCATGTTGTTGAGTCCAAAGAAGGCGCCGTCCATCAGCTTGGTGATGCCGTTGCGCTGCATTTTCAGAAATCTCAGGGAGTCCAGGCCCTTGAAGGTCAGGCTGTCCACCACTTTAATCTTGTTGCGCTTTAATTCCCTGAAAATCAGTATTTTGCAAATATTAGCCACTGAAATTGCATCAATTGCATCAATTTGCCAACACCATGTTTTCTTTAAAACATAAGAAATACATACAACAAAAATCCTTCCCCCTTTTTAGGGATGTTCACAGCGAAAGGCTGGAAAGGTTTTCACTTACAAGAACTGCAGGTGAGGGAGCTTGAAGATTTTATAAGGAAGGAATGTAATGCGGTTTCTATTGAGCTTCAGGCCAATCAGGGAGCTGGAGATGTTATCAAAACATCCAGGTTCCAAAACACTGATTTTGTTATTGCTCAAGTTCCTGGGGGAGAGAAGAGTCTTGAGTCGAGAGCTACAGTGTCAACGGTAATTAATGCCATTATTAACAATGCACGTTGCTGTTTCACATCGCCCCACACGAGTTGCTGAGCAAACTGAAGCTTTTTAGCAAAGGGAATATGATCTGATGTTAAAATAAAGTCTAAATGCTCTAATACTGTATTTTGCTCATCGGATTACTATAAAAATACTATAACATTACAAAACGCATGCAAATGTTTGGTCAAAACCCAAATTTTATATGGCGGAAAGAAAAAAAGCAGTGCGTTAAGCTAGCCGCCATCTTGGTGAACCTGTAGATGTGAACACGACATGTAGCCAGGGGGAGGTACTTACAGGTATTTCAGCTGCGTCAGTGGGAAGGCGCCAGCCTTGATCTCGGAAATTGAATTGGAGCTCAAGTCCAGGGACTCCAGGGAGAAGTAGGGCTGCAGCTGGTCCGTGACGAGCTCAGAGATCCGGTTGTGAACCCTGGGGATGTGAAAGACCATGAAGACGCTAATCAGCATTGGAGAAAATGATAACATCCAGTATTATACCGTGCTTACAGTTTTACTGAGGCAATCTGATAAGCCTAAACATGAGTCTAATAGATGGCAAACTATACATTGGGGCAAAACTAACGTATCGCTTATACTTATCAAATTGTGCCTGCATCTGATTATGGAGCACAAAGCTTTTATTTTAGTACCAATTACTAGGTAATGTTCTACTCTAAGATGAAGGTACAAATTCAATGATACATAATAATATAATATATAAATATTTCATTTTGGATACTAACATTTAAAATGCATAGAACTGGTTTAAAATAAAACTTAACATATGTTTAGAATATTATAATCAATATTTTGGGAGGGGGTTATCAATCAGCCTATGCTCTTTCAGTAAATATATAATTTTAAAAAACTTTCTGCAAACCAATAAAATAAAAAGCCTCTACAAACTTATGCACGGCATATTAAGAAGTCAATCAGGGATGCTTGTTCATATCACCCCTTTCATACATACAGACCTATATTATACAATACTCCTGTATCATTGCATTCACATTAACCTATAGCTTTCAAAATTCTACCTAAACAGTAAACATCCAAAGGAGTTTTATGTTTTCATTTCATGTTAAGATTTTCTTTTGATTATGTGACAAAACTGCTCCAATAAGCCAATGGCAATAATTAATGTAAAACCAAAGCACAAATTCGCCAGCTTCACGATATTCTCATGTCTAGCGTACACTGGTCCAAACACAAACAAATTACCACAATCAGTTCAATTGATGGCTGCAGAAGTTCCAGGTAATACACTGACATAATGAGTGAAACGTTCATGTATTGTTATGTGCTGTGAAAAGCAGTTTCTTCATCCAAATAACATTTCCATTTCTAAACCAAATACAACACTCTTGCCAAGGCACTTTAAATCAATTTTTGTCTTTAACAAAAAGTAGGCATCGTTTCCTCTCAATAACAAAAATAATTATTTTATATAAATTATTTAAGTATGTGACGGATTGAGGCCTAAAGGTGAATAATTCATATATTTATATTTATAATAAAAATCACTGAGAAAAGTCATTGAGAAGGGCAAAAGATGGAATAACTGAGTAAACTAACTTGTCTCCATGAAACGATGCCAGTTAACAGCAACTCCATCCATCAATCCATCCATCCAGTACTTCTTATATGACAGTCAGCCAGCATTTAACGGAATAACAGTATTCATGGGGCCAATGTTTACAGAAAAAACTAAATGAATTTCAGCACACTCATCACTGATGGCCTTCCTGCTATTACAATGTGACAGCAATGCCAAATCTATAAGACAGCAGTGCTACAATCATTCAGAATGGATATGTTGATGTGATCAAGAAGACTCGTAATGGCAAAAAGAACTGTGTTTATCGTCTCCATTAAACAAATAGCAAAATGAAAAAGCAAAAAAAAAGTAAAATGCAGTATATATGCATTTCTACACCCCTCAAAACAGCATGTACCACCAAAACAAATCAAAATATAATGAAGTACTTTTTCTGGAAACTTACAGAGAAAGGACAGTGATGTTGGATGTCACATCTTCTAGGAATGGAATAGCAGTCAAGTCATTGTAGTTCATATTGCTGGGAAGAAAATGTATATTCAGATTAGCAACACATTAATACCTTTCTATGAAAATTATGAGTTTCCACTATTAGATTTTTCTTTATCAAAGGTCCTAGCTGCCATTGTTGAAACATTTTACCATGAAGCACAATAAAACAATGTACTTAAGTGGAATAGAAGACAGTTCAGCAGAAATTAAAGGACAAATGCATATAGTTCTAATGTCCACCTGGATTAAACTGTTACTGGAACACATTACTGATTTCCAATTTGTACTGCTTTATACTGCACCATTACACTAATACATTAATAATTCAGAGTCTCCACATCACTTGCAGCTTGGGGTGTTGCTAATGCAGCCTATCAGAACCACAGTGTGATATCGGGGCCTTAACCCATTACTGACCAAGGGTAGATAAAACGGCTGCTTTTTCCCTGGTGGATAACAACTTAAAGACGCAATCAAGATGATTAGTGATACCGCACTCTTCCCCCAAAAGAACTAATGCACAAACAGATGCCGGAAATCTTTCTTTTTTGGACGCTACAAATTAAATCTCTTTAAAGTAATATTACAGAAAATGGTGTGAGGACACCCAAGTTTACACGATATTTTTTTCCAAACTGAATTCCCACATGGAACATAGACTGATAATTTCCTTGTATAATAAAGGATGAGAAACAGTTTTCCTCATACTGTACAAACGAAATCCTGTCAGGTTTTTGCTATATGGCTCATTTATTCTGCAGAAGTACTCAGGTAATCCAGAGCTGCAACCTGCAAAGGAAGCCTTAGCAAATATTATATAATGACTGAAGCGTTATATAATTCATATGAAATAACCATAAATTTAACCATGTTTCCCTCTTTCCTTTTTTAAATACAATGGGTGAAATCACAAGCCTGATTTTCAGGCAACCGGAATACATCTGTAGAATAATTACATGAATATTGTGTACTAATAAAACTAAAATAGGGTACGAAGCAAATGTAACTTTTCAATTAAAATGTTATTTATCAATATGCATAAACAGATGCTATATTCGAGCAGGAGCAAATGAAATGTTCATATTCTTTGCCCGTTAGCCAACTTTCAATCACTAAAAAAACATTATGAGGTAGTGTATAACTAAGCGGGTTGAGGATCTGTGCCTGTGCACAGAAGGTTGTGGGTTCGAATCCCATGGCCCTATCAGATTAATCAAATGAATCATTTCTGAGTTAAGTACCTAACCCCAGCAGCGCCAAAGGCACTGCACATTGACTACCCCTGTGCTCTGACCCCAAAATTGTCTGTCTCAGAAAGAGCAAGACGGGATAGGGGAAAAGCAAATAAATCCAACGTACCATGTACAAATGGTGATAAGATATGACATACACGTTATTCTTCAATACAACTTTTCACAGAATTAAGATTGTGAAACTATTGACCCTAATCGTAGTACTTTTAAACTGATTAGATATCAAACAGGCTTCACATGGCAGGCGGGTCATTTTAAACTTGATAATAAGCTGTACCTGAGTAATATAGCAACCATGATGAGTAGATCAACAACACATTTACGATTTTAAGGGCTTTTGTGCAGATACCACCAGGGGATCGTGGTCCATCCATGGAGGTCAGATACTTACAGGTGAGTTATTCCGGCAGGCGGACCAAACGGCACAGCCGACAACCTTTTCTTGCTGCAGTCCATGAGCATCCCAGAATCCGATTGTACTGTACAGGAGCATGGATACGGGCAAGAGTCCTGACCCACGGCACCCAGAACCATCAACAACAGCGCCAGGGGGGTGGGCCATCCATCCGCCATTTTGAATCTCAACACTATTCAATAGTTTTGAGACTAGTAATATCATATGCCATACAGCTATTTACACAAATGTTTCTAATCTATTGTTATTTACTTCGTAATGACAGCTTAAAATAAACCGAATTCGGAGAGAGGTGTAAGAAAATTCCACAGTATTTCTTCCATCTTGTGAAGATCCATCCTAATAAGTTTTCCAGTGTTCCCTGCGAATTCCCTTCCGCCTTCCAATCTCAGCCGCTCCGGAGAAGTACCGAAACCTTATAAGAGCGCAGAAATACGTCGTTTGAATGGTTTCCAGGGCCTCGATCTAACATATAGATGTGGCATGGCGTCCTAGTATGAAAAAAATTTAATTTTTTTACTCGTATGATTTAATTTTTCCACCACATTTTTTCGCTGGGAAAAACAAAGCGCCTGCCCTCCTTGACACGGGATACCTTGCTAGTGAAAGACCGCCTTGTGGGATATGTTTACGCCGTTCCCATTGGTCAATAGGAGGTTGTGACGTGTACGAAGCGTACGACTATTGGCTTAGTTAGATTGTATAGAACGTGGGGATGCAGGCCATTAAAACGATTCTTGCACTGGATTTGTCTTCGGAGCTGTCAATCCTGGAGAGGGCTCGTTACCGAGGGAATATGAAGATGGTTTAAAGCTGTTTTCGTCTTTAGTTTTGACATATTGTTGATGGTTTGCTTCAGAGAAACCAGCAATCGTCGTTTAGAATGTGTGGTTTTAAAGTTAGGTGCTATTTTTATATAAGCAAATTGAAAAGTTAAATAAATAGTATTCAGTTACTAAGGTTTTTATGTCAGTAAGTGACACTGAGTCTGTGCTTTGGGACAACCATTCGGGGAAAGGTATTACACAAAATATTGAGTGGATAGCACGGTTGCCTCATGTTTCCAGAGCTGTTGGTTTGACTCAGTCCTGTGTTCTGTGTGGTGCTACAATTTTCTTTGCATGTACACTATATGAACAAAAGTATTGGCATGCACCTCTTAATCATTGAATTCAGGTGGTTCATTCAGGCCCTTTGCCACAGGGATATAAAATCAAACACCTATAGGCATGCAGTCAGGTTTACAAACAGTTGTGAAAGAATTGGCCATTCTGAAGAGCTCAGTCAATTCAAGTGTGGTATTGTCATAGCATGCTACTTTCGCAATAGGGCAGTTTGAGCTAGATATTCCACAGTCAACTGTAAGTGGTATTATTGCAAAGTGACAGTGTTTAGAAACAACAAAAGTGGCTGACTATGTAACGTAACAGAGCGGGGTCACCGAGTGCTGAGGCGGATAGGGCGTAAAATTCGCCAATGCACTGTTCACTCAACAACTACAGAGTTCCATTCTCCCTCTGCCATTATCCCCAGCACAAAAAAACTGTGAGCTGGGAGCTTCATGGAATAAGCTTCCTTGGCCAAGCAACTGCATGCAAGTCTCACATCACCAAGTGCAATGCAAAGCACCAGAAGGAGTAGTGGACTATAGAGCAGTGGAAATGTGTTCTGTGGAGTGACTACATTATGCCAACTGTAAAGTTTGGTGGAGGAGGGATAATGGTATGGGGTTGTTTTTCAGGTGTTGAGCTAGGCCCCTTAGTTCCACTGAAAGGAACTCTTAATACTTATACCAAAACATTTTGGTGAATTCTATGCTTCCAAGTTTGTGGGAACGGTTTGGGGAAGGCTCTTCTGTGTTCCAGCATGACTGGTCTATAAAGACATGTTTGGGTGAGTTTGGTGTAGAAGAACTTGACTGGCCTTCACAGAGCCCTGACCTCAACTCTGTCAAACCCTTTATGATGAACTAGAATGGAGATTGCGAGCCAGTCCTTCACTTCCAACATCAGTGCCTTAGAAATGCTCTTTTGAATGAATGGGCAAAAATTCCCACAGACATGCTCCAAATTTTTGTGGAATGCCATCCCAGAAGAGTGGTACTTGTAGTAGCTGTAAAGGGGGGGGGGGACCAACATCATACTACTCCCTATGGATATTGAGTGTGATGTCATAAAAGTTCCTGTAGGTGTAATGGCCAGATGGCCTTATACTTTTGTCCATATAGTGCACGCAGGGGCGGATTAAGGTGCACAGAGGCCCCTAGGCTACAGTAGTCTGTGGGCCCCCCAACCCCGCCCCCCTCCGTGCCAATGGGGGCCCCCTTGCAGGCAGGCACACGTGGGGCCCCTAGGCTTAAGCCATATCTAGTCTGTGCGTTAATCCGCCCCTGAGTGCACGTGCCCATGCAGGTAGATGGTGTGCCGTCCAGGCTGTACCCCTGGTGCCTGGGATAGGCTCTAATCCTGACCACAATAGATGGATGAATTGAATTTAATGATTTGTTGATATTTTATATATAATATTTAATGTAAAACAAAATTAAGAAGCAGGTTTTGATACAGCAAAACTCAATATCTATAAAATCAAATCAAAATGTGCTTTCATTTTGGCAGAATGATTTCATAAGGATAAAGTGTTTGACTAAAATGTAGTAATAAATCAATCCATCCATCCATCCATCCATGCTTCTAAGGCACAATGGGCAGACATGAAGGGCGATTTAAAGAAACCGAACAAGACTGCATGTTCTTGGACTGTGGGAAATAAGAAAGAAGCCCACACAAACACAGCACACAGATGTCAGACCCTGGGATAGTGCAAGGCCACAATACCACTTACAAAGGCAAAGAGCTACATTATCTGCCTTTTTAGGACTGTTCCAAATATGCACCGGAGAATTTGTGTGTGATCAGCATGTTGCTTTGGAAGGAAGCTCTTAGTGAGAGAAACTTGCCGATGGTTCATTAGGGTTCTGTACTGGAGAATTCAATAAATCAATACATTTTATAAAGCACCCTAAGCATGTCGGAAATGCAGAGAGCAGCTGGACACCTCCATGGAAACTGTTTTGTGATTAACTGTGAATGCAGAAGCTAGGAGTTTAATGGTCGCACCCGAGGGGCTTAACTTATGTGTTAACCTACGTATCTGATACACACATAACCTATTATTTTGTCTACCTGTAGGGTACCAACATACCGCTCATACAAAAGTGCAAAGTAACCACATAGATCAGAGTGCAATGCTGGTCTTACCAATTATTTACCAGCAATTTTGACTGACCCCCGCTGCACCATCCAAATTCCGCCCATGAACTAAAGCAGAATTTGTTTTGAAATGACTTAGTTATAATTACTCATTTATTATAAATGTGTTCATTTCATTGTGTGTAACGATTCAAAAGTGATGTACCGAACGATACAAGACGAGGACCGTAAGGTGTACTGGTACAGTCCTACCAGATCTTGTACACATTTCACCATGACTTGGTATGATGTTACTGTATAAACAGCACTACTGCTTCCCACTTCCCGATTTTGCGAAATCTTGCTTTGTGTGTTTGAGGCATGTTCCATCTTCTCCTTGTGTTGAGCAGATTTCCTCCAGTAGTCCTAAAGACATACAGTTAGGTAAACAAGTTACTCTAAATTGGCCACTGGGTGTGAGCCTGACCTGTGATAGACTACAATCCCATTCAAGGTTTTTCCCTGCCTTGTGTGATTCTGTACGAAGTTATTTGGATGACGGATGAGGTGGACTTCTGCACATTTACACTTTTCCACAAGGGGGCATTGGAGTATTATCAGATGTTTTCAGCTAGGAACTGTCACGTGCACTGCTGCGAGCTACGGACAGGCAGCCACATTGGATTATAATGGGAAATAGTTATTACCCACTCAGTGACTAGGGACAAGATGTATGCACAGGCATCTGCAAAAAGATAGCTTCATAAGATATCATTCAAAGTTCTGAAATTTCCTTTATCCTTTAACATTGAATGAATATTCAGCAAAATGTATTTTTAAGTTAATTTAGCAGATGCCCCTATCCCAAACAACAAGTGTAAGAAAAGAAATGGGAAAAGCACAGTAAATTTAGAACTGAAAGTCTGGCAGATCTGATAAAAGGGCATTTAAACTTTTACAGGTTCACTCCAACAATTTCAAAATTAATATCCAAAGGGTTTAAAACATCATTAGTGCACCAATGCACCAGTAATACCCACTAATGCACCAATGATACCCAGTTTTTTTGTTCAAAAAACACTTCTTCCTTATTTTCAATAACCAGTTATTAATCATTGTGTGACATCATTCCAGGTGGTGTGTGCGGTATATTAAAGCGACCTGGAGACCTAAAGGACTGTGGCAACAATTAATAAATGCAGTATATAATTTTTGATTACTAATAAAAAGTAAATGTATAACATTAGTTTCAATGTGACTGACTTGTTATAGTTGAAACTACAGTTGTAGGCGACAAGGCACACTAGCAGATTGCACTGTCAGGTTCTATGAGTTCTTCTTATGTTGACATTGGTTTCTAATGCTGTCACCTGTATTACATAATGTATACTACATTCCTCCCAGAACAGGTCCTCGCTCACTGTGATGATCATCAGCTCTTTACTAATAATATATGGAATATGGACGAAAGGATTGAATTCTTCCGATTCATCTGTCATCCACTGTCACGTTGTGCTACGCGTTCCCATCGGCACCCGGTGCAGCTAGTCCCAGCTGGAGGGAGCGTTATGATCCAACGGCATCACTGACGGGAACAGACAGTGGTTGTGTGTGTGTTTGTGTGTGCATCTAGGTGTTGCCATGGAAAGGGACAGCTAATAATAATTGTTATAATAATTCAATGCGTGAACATTTAGGAAGGCATTCAAGGGGCATGGGGCAATCTGCCATGGAACGGTCCACATGAGTTGCTCAGCACAATGGACAGTGAGAGGGACATGCCCTGTTTTATCTAGGTACAGGAAATGCATTGACTAAGCAACCTAAGAGCCAACGTATAAAGCCTTAGCGAGGCAGACAGGATTAAGAAATTAAATACTCCAGAACAAAGTATTTAATCAGTTACTGGGGTAAAGAGGTGGACATAACAAAGAAATTGACCTTTGGACCTTAGGTGGGACAGAGCTTTTATTGCAAACAAGGACACTGGAGCAAAGATAAGTGCAGAATGTGAGCCTTGGCATGTGTGGGAACGTCACTGTCCCATACTCGATTTATGCAATGCAATAATTCCCTTTACCGAAAGGCACAGTCGAGAAAACATTTATTCTGATTTTGCTGTGGGAACTTCCGACTGTGCATAGTTATATGGAGCACCATTGCATGTGGTTCTCCATTGAATTCCTGGTCAATGATTCACTCGCAGCTGCAGGAGGAAAGTGTGACATCTTAATTGGTGCAATTTGCCTCTTATCCAGGTCTGGAGCGTGTGTATGATCAACCAGAGACCTGCTTCTCATCCTCAGGCACCTGAACCTGCACCTGAGCTCTCCTCCCTTTCTTTGTAGGCCTCTTGTTTTTCAAAATCTTCCATCTTCAAGGAGACTGAAGTATAGCCCTTGATTCACATGAGGC